CCACTATTTTCCCTTCTGTGCCACCACTATTTTCCCTTCTGTGCCACCACTATTTTCCCTTCTGTGCCACCACTATTTTCCCTTCTGTGCCACCACTATTTTCCCTTCTGTGCCACCACTATTTTCCCTTCTGGGCCACCACTATTTTCCCTTCTGGGCCACCACTATTTTCCCTTCTGGGCCACCATATTTGACTCTTCCGGGCAAAACTACTTTTTACGGAGCAATGGGATCGTTCTTGGTAGTTCGTTCTCGTGAAAGAACGATCGTTCTCCAGGAACGACTTACAACGCCCAGTCCTGTTATATATATATATATATAATTTCCCCATTTGTTGCACACTTTTTGACCCTGTGTCGTTTTGCTGTAGGTCGTTTAATCTGTACAATGTACTGTACATAGCATGGTTAAAGAACAAATTTGACGGAAGACGACTTTTGAATGGTACAGTTCCATAAACCTTTCCTTTGCCACACAAAATTTAGGCCGGATCAGTTTAGTTGTTTTATTGTTTATTAAATACAAATAACAAACAAGCCAAATCTATCTAAAACTTTTGCTTGTCTGAGTGTTTGTTTGTATCCAATAAACGTCAAGACGGCTGAACCGATCGGGCCCGAATATTTTTACTGTTTATGTTTATGGACCGTGAAATTCAAAAAATTTGGACCGGAAACTTTCGAAATTTATTTTAATTTAAAAATTAAATATTTATAGATATATATTATATAACATTTGTTATTGGATAATTTTTAATAAAATGGCAAATTTTATCAAGAAAAGGCGTGCGAAGCGCCCTCGTATCCTAGTATATTATATCCTAGTACAATTTTATCTTATAACTGTTGGCCCCCAAAAATTGGGCACGGGCATCGTTTCAGTCGTTCATTGGATACACACAGACAGACAAGCAAATTATATATATTACTAGCTAAAATGTCTGTCGTTGCCCGTGGAATTAAAAAAATTAGCCTATGTAACCCCCGGCTAACCATGAGTGTCCACAAAAAATTTCAGCTCATTCGGTCTAGCCGTTTGGTCGGCCAAAGGGAACATATATACGAATGTCTTGTTTATTATAGACAATAGATATGTATATTGTACTACACAATATACATGCTTGTTAAACTAATTCAGATTTAGAAAGTTATTTTACACGTAGTTCACATATAAATACGCTCCTGAGAAAAGAGATACAAATATTGAAGAAAAAACATTTAAAATTCAAAATATATTTGTAAAATTAATTTCTACAACTAAATGCAAGGCAATATTTCACCTGTGATGGTGGGTCAAGTTTCTCTGGATGATGAATCTAGTTTCTGATTTGAGATCCACACTCTAGTCTACATACACCATAGGGTAAACACAATACTAATATTCATCCCATACTCACATTTTCAAAACTTTATTTTTTTCATGTGTCAGAGTTGGAAACTTTTAAAAGTGTGGAACAGATTTTAATCAATTCGGTCAAAACTTAGAATATTTTCTATAAGAGATTAGTTAAGTCTGAAGGAGTCTTACTGATCTTACGTTAGTGAAAATTTGTTTTACCAAATAGAAATACCGATACAATTTCATTAAACTTGAACTTTTTGAAATTGGTTAAATCAACTCTAATAAACAATTCAAAAGTTGTTATGTCAGTTGGGATTAATTAATAGTTTTCATTAACTAAAATGTAAACACCAAATTGTTACAAATGAAGATATGATCTTCAAAAAATTATAATTTTTTATTTCAGAATGAAGAGTGCAGCCGTGCTTTGCGTTGTGCTGCTTTTCCTGGTGAGTTTCTAATTTGGAAATTAAATTACTAAACTTTAATAATTAAAACAAAAGCAAAAAGGACTTTTCATTTTTTTGCGATGTTTTTTTTGTGACAAATTTTCGTGCTTCGATTACATTAAAAGTAACTTAAGTTTCTAATTCTGTACATAAATCTTTATATTCTTTCAACAAGAAGCCTGGACTTAGGAATTGGTACTTTCACGCACCTCTGCCCCTTTAGTAAAAGTAAATTCAACCTATATGAAGCATGTTAAACATCGATCAAGTCAACCAATATTTTGCGCATGAACAATGCTAGGAAGATAATACATTGCGTAACCTAGACCCATAGATTAATTAAAATAGCAAATAGGACACTAGATGTCGTCTTTTCAAGTTTTGGATGAAACTCGTTCACAATTACCTTAAGGCAGAAGGCCAGAACAGTTTAGCGCAGTCAGAGTAAAACAGGCTCTCTCCGTCTTGTGCCGGCTGTGCGAAACTCCTCTGTCGGCTTCAGTCTCAGGGTTATTGTGTATGAGTTGCATCCAAATCTTGAACAGACGACATTTAGTGTCCTATCTTCTATTTTAATTAATCTATGCCTAGACCCCTCAGTGAATGTATAAACAATACAATTATAGAATTACATCAGTAAATCCTTGTACCGGTTCAGATTATGCAACAATTGGACTGGAATGACTACATTGTACATTTTAAAACATTTTAAAACATACGAAGTTGCAGGTTTTGTAGGATTGCAATGTCGGGAAGTTAGAATTAGTTTTGTATTACTCATATGCTTTAATGGCAAACTATGATTTCGGTTCCACGGATTCTTTAATAAGTTTAATATGATAAAGCATTATGTGTTTTTGTTGGAATATAGTACGTCAGCTCTTTCAACCTGGACCATTATTGTGCAGACGCAGGAGGGAAGGAAGAACAACCACAACAATTTCTCGTCGAAACCACATTTTCCTCTTTTCTCGTCCAAGCCACCTCAAAATCCTCGTCCTTCCCACTGCTATGGAGACGCTTATTTGTAAAAAATTGTTTACAGAGGAAATTTCTTTTATCACAAACAAAATTTTTTTTGGGCAAATTCAATATTTAATTTATGTTCTAACATAGCCATATTTTCAAAAAGAATTTTATCTACGAGAGTTGGACATTAGCAATAAAAATAATATTGGAAGAAGGAGGATTTCAAGGTGGCTTGAATGAGAAAATGAGGAGAATGTGACTTGAACGAGAAATTGTTGTGGTTGGCCTTCCCCCCCCCCTTGACATGTCCATTTTCAAACAATGGTTAAAATGTTTGCTGGGTATCATCCTACTCAATTGATTATTTGATTTTACCATTGATCTTGTTTAGACACTTGTTGATGTGGATGCACAGAAGGGAAAAGGAAAAGGTAAAGGTAAGGGTAAGGGTAACGGAGGTGATGAAGGCGCAGCTGAAGAAGCAGGAGGTGAGGGATCTGGTGCAGGTGGTCCAGAACCTAGTGAAGTAGAGGCAGGAGGACCAGGAGGGGAAGGATCTGGTGCAGGTGGTCCAGGAGGTGATGATGCAGGTGGACCAGAAGGGGAAGGTTCTGGAGCAGGTGGTCCAGGTGGTGAAGATGCAGCACCTCCGGGTGATGATGCAGGACCAGGAGGTGATAATGCAGCACCTGAAGGGAATGATGCAGGGCCAGGTGATGATGCAGCAGGATCTGACGGTAATCGTTCAGGACCAGGAGGTGATGAAGCAGGACCTGAAGGAAATGGTGCAGGAGCAGGAGGTGAAAATGTAGGGATTATTAATGATGATGCTCACTTTGATAGATTGATTGAAAAGGTGAAATTTCAGAAATTTATTGATTTATTTATTTAATTATTTATTTATTTATCTATTTATTGTATTTAGGTCAACTTGTTATCAAAGGAGTACAATAACTTTATCGAAAACTACATTGAAAGTTTCAATATGCAAGTTAAACAAAAAGCAGTTGATGATGAGAAGGGAGGGGGACACATCATTTGTTTTATTCAACTACCAAGTGTCAAACGAGCGGGAGAAGGCAGGCGGCC